GGCGGCGGGTGGCCCTGGGGGTGGGGGCAGGGCCCTGACACCGCCCCCAGCCATCTTCCTCACAGGGGCCCTCCCCGAGGAGGGGTGCGGCCCGCCCCCCACGCCCTTGGGCACCTATGGCAGGGAAGCCTCCCTGCCTTGGACCCCGAAGTCTCCGGTTCCCGCCCTGTGTGTGTGCTCGCGTGTGTGCGTGGGTGAAAGTGGGTGCACTGAGCACGTGGCGCCCTGCGTGTGCCTGAGTGCTGAGCGGGCCCAGGGGCCACTTGGGCCGGTGGGTGTGTCGGGGCTGCGGGAGCAGACGCGGGTGTGTGCTGGTGGGGAAAGCGCCCTGCCTCCTCTTCCAAAGAAAGTCAGAGGCCACACTGCACCCTGGGTCCTGCTGCCTGCCCAGCCTGTCCTTCCAGAGCTCCACCCGGTCCCAGCGGGCTCCCTAGTGAATCCCTGCTGCTTGGGTGGGCCCCAAGTGCTCCTTGGTGGCAGTGCCCCTAGAGTCAGGCCAACGCAGGCCCTGGGGAGAGTCAGAGACCCCCATGGGCCCCCCGGCCCCCTTACTGTGACTCCTCACACTCAGCAATGGCCTGTGGGGTGGGGGGCCCTGGGGTGTTTTTAAACCTAGGGTTTGGAGTCTGGACGAAGCTCCATCCACGGCACTCACAAGTTTCTGTTTATATTTCTAGCATTTTTAAAAAAAAAAAAAAAAAAAAGACAGAAAACAGAAGTTTTCACACAGCCCAGGGGCCTGGCACACCGGTCTGTGCCCACCCGCCCCTCCCCGGCCCACCGGCCCCATTCCCTGGGCACAGAGTCACACCCACTAACCCCTTCACCAACAGACCAGGTCACACACACAGCAGCAGTCACTGTAACAGACTGCCACATGCACACGCAGTCTCACACTCACCTGTGGGTTTTTGGTTCCGTTCAATTTGGGTTTTTAACTTTACAGGGTCAGTCCCGCTTCACCCCCTTTTGTATGGAGTTCCATCCAGGGGATTTCACCCCTGCTCCAGTCCCGAGGCCTCCTGACCCTGACGTTGTGATACACCCCACAGAGATCTATGTTTCTTATATTATTATTATTATTGATAATAATTATTATAATATTATTATGTAATAAATTTATAAGAAATGAAACCGCGTCTCAATTGCCTGCTCGAGGGGATATTGGGAGCGCAGTTTTGTCCCTCTCAGACAGGGTCACGCAGACCTGCCCAGCCTTGGCCATATGTGCTGGTGACTCAGAACCCTGTTTCCGTGCCAGCCTCCACGTCCCAGTCCCAGCGTCTCCCAGCATCTTCTCTGGGTCCGCTGGGTCTCAGCCGGGGGTCTCTGTTCCCCAGCTCACCAAGTGGCACCTCCCCAGCTGGAAGTCTGGTCGTCGTCCGGGGCCCCTGTCACATTTTCAAGCTCCGGGTCTAAAACCTCCCTCCAGTGTCCCGTTGTATAAAGGCTGCTCTCCGACACTCTCGTGTCCCTCCCTGCTGTCCTACCCCCTGGCCACGCTCTGGCCTCCTTCCTCCCTCTGAGCTGGTTCAGTGGCTTTCTGCCTGCATCCCTACCGTCTGCTCACGAACACCCGACTGTGTCTGTCGGTGAAGTGGGGGGGGGGGTCCCCACAAGCTGTCTGGCTCCTCCCTGTCTCCACCGTGCACACGCGCTTCCTGCAGTCTCACTGCATTCCTGCGGTCCCCGAGGCCACCACAGTGCTCTACAGCCGCACCTCCGCCCATGCCCACCTCCTCCTGCCTGGGTCACCCATCCTGTGCCAGCTTAAAGCCTATGTGCCCTCGGAGGCCGAGCTCTCGGTCCCTTCTTCCAGGAAGCCTCCCTGACCTGCCCTCCGGGACTGAGTTGGCTTCGGGCCATGCGCGCGGCCCCCGCGGCTGGACTGAGCTCCCCAGGGCGTACGTGTATTTCCCCTTCCTGTCCTGAGCCAGCCACCGCACACACAGACATTGTCCTTCAAGAGTGCACAGGCAGTTACGGAAGCGGCCAGCTGCCACTAGCAGAGATGTGGTGAGGGAGGGGTGTCCTCAGTGGCACCTGTGGGTGGGCGGCCCATCACCGGGCAGGGGCACCTCAGTGCCTGGAAGGGGCTGGTGAGCTGCGTCTTGAAGGATGGGATGAGCAGTAAGGCGGGCAAAGGCGACCAAGTGGGAGCTGTGATGGGGTGGGGACACAGGACAGGGCTGAGAGAGGCCGCGGACAGAGGGCAGCGGATGCACAGCCTGGTCACGCAGGGTGGAGGCGAGAGTGGATACGGCAAAGTGACAAACGTCGACCTTGACTCTGAGGGTGTCCCTGGTCTGGGTGGGGCCGGCAGGGAAGCGCGAAGACCCCGGAGGCGGTGGGAGTGGGGGCTGCAGCCCCGGGCAGGCAGCTGAAGGGAGCGGGTGACGTCCGGATGTGGATGTCCCCGCAGGGAACGGCAAAGGCCCTGGCCAGGCGGTGACGACGCCTGCCGGGCAGTGGAGGCTAGAGGGGCTCGTGGTCTGCCTAGAAAGCCCCACGATTTCCAACTTTCAACATTTTAAAATTTGTCGTCTCCCTTTCAGATTAGAAACTGTAGTCATCACACAGGAAGTGAAGGAGTGGGGCCCCGGGAGGGGCCGAGTGTGGTGGCAGTGGCCTCAAGGGGTGGGCTCCTCTGAGTGGGGTCTGCGGGCAGCGCAGCTTTTCCACGAGGAAAGGGAGATGGTGGCTTCCTCCTGAGCAAGGGCAGTGGGGCACTGCCTTCCATGGAGATGCCCTGGCCACGCTGGTTCCCAGCAATGAATGTCCCCTCAGGTCAAAAGTGTAAGAAGACGTGACCTTCAGGGACTGGACCAGAGAAACCTGCCAGGGAGGTGGGGAAATGGCAGAGTGAGACAGGGTCGAGTGACCTGAAGTCCCCAAACACCTTGGGGCAGAGACTTTCTCAGTCAGGGCCAGGGACGCCCTCAGCCCTTCTGGTCTCCTTGTGACCTCAGAATGCTCCAGCTTTACCCTCTCAGGGGCCTTAAACGACTCAGCGACAGTCTCGGGAACCTGCAGCCCCTCTGTCCCTCACCACCAGCCACCCCCAAGGTCCTGTGGACAACTCTGTGGCTGAGGTCTGTGCTCTTCAGAGGGCCGTCCTGGAGACCAAGGGCTGGCATGGGGTGGGCAGCAGTGGGAGCGTGGGGGACAGGATAGGTGGGGACCGGATGGGGTTGGGGATCAGGGTGAGAAGAATGGGGCAGGAGCTGGGTTGCTCGGGGGAATGGGGGTAAGAATCCAGAGGCGAGCAGGGCTGGGGCGAGCTGGAGTGGGACGTGGGGAGGACCCCACGTACTGCTTCCTCCTCCTGCTTCCTGTGCTGCTGCAGCCTGAGCCAAGCCCCCGGTAGCCAAGGGGACCCTGTCCTCTGGTCCCTGAACCTAACGGTCCTGTACCTTCCTAGCCCTCCGTCCCTTGCATCGGAACAGCATGGAGGAGGCAGTCACTTTCAGTTGAGAAGGTTGTTGCTTCCATGAGGTTTAATGACAAAATTAACCCAGCTGGGCCACAAGCCTCTCCCTCAACCCTCGCTGAGGCTGGGGTAGCCCCTTCTAGAATCAGAACAGTTAGCTCTGCAGAGTCAAGCAATTGCTGTCTTCTAGAATCTAGACATTAGGACTTCAGACTTTATTACTGCGTGCCTCCTAAATATATATATATATATATATAATATATATATATATAAAATATATATAAATATATATATATTTAAACTAGGTAGTGTCTTTGATTTTAAATTTATATCTAACACTTTCACCCTGAATTTAAAGTTGCAAAGGTTGTGATTTCCAGAGAATTGTACATACTAACACTGAAAACAAAATTTATACCATTCTTTTAAACAATTCTCATGGATCTAAATCCCACAGCAATTTTATGCCCATCAAGATCCTTTACAAACACCCAAAATAATCTTTTTTTTTTTTTTTTCATGACTGGTAAGGGGATCATAACCCTTGGCTTGTGTCGCCAGCACTGCGCTCAGCCAGTGAGCGCTCAGGCCATCCCTATATAGGATCTGATCCCACAGCCTCGGCACTCCCAGCGCCGCACTCTTCCGAGTGAGCCACAGGGCTGACCCCCCAAATAATCTTTTAACAATCAAAACTTTAATATCCTTCTTAAATTATTCTGGCCATTTCTTGAACTATATGTCCAAAGTATTTTTTGGTTATTATCGGACACAACACTCAGTTAAAATAAATGAGGCCTTCTAACACTCAACAGTTTAGTTAGAACCTGTTAACACTCAGGTTGGTGAAATAGGACCTCCTGACTTTCAGACAGAGGAGGTGAGACCACCTGACATACAGGCTGAAAGAGAGAGACCTTACGCATTTAACAGGGGAAAGAATCTTCCTGACACGTAGGAGAAACTCATCCTTGTGACACTTGGGTATGGGTGGTAAGAGCTTTTGTTTTTTTTTCCAATTTCTAAAAATTATTTTTAATCAATCCAATAATTGTACATATTTATGGGGTACAGAGTGATATTTCAATACATGTATACAACGTGTAATGATCAAATCAGGGCAATTAGCATATCCATTACCTCAAACATTTATCATTTCTTTGAGCTGGGAACATTCAAAATCTTCTCTTCTAGCTATTTGAAAATATGCAATAAGTCGTTAATTATAGTCCCCCTACAGTGCCACAGCACACTAGAGCCTAGTCTTCCCAGCAGGCTGTAATTTCGTATCTGTTAACCAGTCTCTCCCTCTTCTCAGCCTCTAGTGACCACAGTCCCACTCTCTACTTCTATGAGCTCCCACATATGAATAAGAACATGTGGTATTTCTCTTTCTGTGCCTGACATTTCACTTAACATAATGTCCTCCAGGCTCATCCATGTTGCTGCAAATGATAGTATTTCATTCTTTTTCATGGCTGAGTAGTATTCCATTGTGTGTATCCACCACATCTTCTGTACCCGTTCATCTGCCGATGGACACTCAGGCTGATCCTAGATCTTAGTTATTGTGAGTAGTGCTTCAGTAAACATTGGAGTTCACATATCTCTTCAACATACTGATTTCCTTTCCTTTGGATAAATACCTAGTGGTGGGATTGCTTGATCATGTGATAGTTCTATTTTTAGTTTTTTTGATGAACTTCCATACTTTTTTCCAATAATTTACATTCCCACCAGCAGTGTATAAGAGTTCCCTTCTCGCATCCTCACAAGCATTTATTTTTTGTCTTTTTGATAATAGCCATTCTAACTGCAGTGAGATGATACCTCATTGTGATTTTGATTTGCATTTCCCTGATGATTAGTGATGCTGAGCATTTTTTTCATATAATTGTTGGTCATTTGTATTTTTTCTTTTGAGAAATATCTATTCAAATCATCTGCCCATTTAAAATAGACTATTATATTATTGTTTTTGCTCTTGAGGTCCTTGTATATTCTGCATATTAATTCCTTGTCAGATGAATAGTTGGCAAATATTTCCTCCCATTCTGCAGGTTACCTATTCCATCTATTGTTTCCTTCATTGTGCAGAAACTTTTTAGTTTGGTATAATCTCATTTGTTTATTTTTGCTTTTGTTGCCTGTGCTTTTGAAGTCTTATTCATAAAATCTTTGCCAACACCAGTTTCCTGAAGCATTTTCCCTGTTTTCTTCTAGTAGTTTTTAGTTTCAGGTCTTACATTTAACTCTTTAGTCCATTTTGAGTTGATTTTTGTATATGGTGAGAGAGAGTGGTTTAGTTTTATTCTTCTGCATATGGATATAGTTTTCCCAGCACCATTTATTGAAGAGACTGTCTTTTCCCCAATGTGTGTTCTTGGTGCCTTTGCTGAAAATCAGGTGGCTGTAAATACGTGAATTTATTTATGGGTTTTTGATTCTGTTCCATTGGTCTATGTGTCTGTTTTTATATAAGTACCATGCTGTTTTGATTATTACAGCTCTATAGCATATTTTGAAATCAGGTAGTGTGAGGCCTCCAGCTTTGTTTATTTTACTCAAGGTTGCTTTACCTATTCAGGGTCTTTTGTGGTTCCATATGACTTTTAGGATTGTTTTTTCTATTTCCGTAAAGAATCTCATTGGTATTTTGACAGATTGCATTGAATCTGTAGATTGTTTTTGGTAGTATGGTCACTTTGACAATATCAATGTTTCCAATCCAGGAACATGGGATGTCTTTCCATTTTTGTGTGTGGGAGGTAAGAACTCTTGATACTCAGATAAAGTGCCCTAGAACCCTGAAGTTGACATAGGGGAGGCAAGTCCTTTTTACACTCAGGTAGAGGAGAGGAGACCTCCTGACATGCAGCTTTAAGAGAGGATACCTCTTGACATGCAAGTAGCAGAGATAAAAATCTCATGCCGCTAAGTTATTATTGAGATGTGCTTACATTCTAGGGGAAATAAAACCTCTTGCTTAGCAGGTAGGGAAATAATGCATATAAACACTCAGGTAGAGGAGTTAAATTATCCTGCCACTCAGGAGAAATAGGCCTTGTCACTCCATGGTAAATGAAGATGAGATGTCCTGGCCCAGTAATAGGAGAGACCTTCTGACCTGCAGGGAGAGTAGATATTGAGACATTCGTGTAAAGAAAATGAAGCTCTTGTATGTGAAATGAGACCTCCGGACATTCCTCTAGAGGAAATGAGATGTCCTGACACTGGGGTAGGGAAGATAAGATTTTGTGACATTTGCACAAGGGACATGAGCCCTCTTGGCCACTTAAGAGAGAAGAGATGGAACCTCCAGATATACAGCTGAAGAGATGAGCCCGACCATCAGCTAGAGACAAAGTCTCCTGGTGCTCAGATGAGGAGACAAGTTGCCACGACACTCAGGTAAGGAGGACAGACCTCGAGAAAACCAGGAAGGGGACAGAGACCCTCAGACAGGCAGGGAGTCGAGATGAGAACTTCAGACACTGAGAGTAGAGACTTGAAATATTGTGGTAGAGGAGATAAAAGTTCATGACATTCAGGTGTGGAGATGAGACTGTGCTCAAGCAGAGAATAGGGGACTTCCTGGCAGTCAGGTGGGGGCAAATGAGAACTCCGGACACTCTAGGATGGCAGTTACGTGCTCAGAACACTCACAGAGGTGACATGCAGGCTCTTGACATTTGGGTAGAGGCTGTAAGACCTCTCGATTCTCAGGCAGAGAAGACGTGACAAGGGGACACTTGGGTGGAGCAGATGAGCCTCTGAGATGAAGAGACGTCCCAATGCTCACGGAGAGGAGGACGCGGCTCCCTGACTATAAGGTGACACATGTGAGACCCACTGACTGGCTGTTCAGTTGTGGGGGGTGTGACCTCCTGAACATCATATGATATGAGAAAGTACGACATGAAGTTGGAAAAGACATTCAGGAAAAGAAATCAGATTATCTGATAATCTGAAAACTGCATGTTCAGGAACAGGAGCTGAAATGTCCTGACACTCAGGGAGAACAGGCTCTTGCGACACTTGGACAGGTGAGATGTCACCTCCTGATGCCAGGCTGGGCTGGCTGAAACCTGACACTCAGGTGGAGGGATGTGACCTCCTGAACACACTTGCAGGGGAGGTGAAACACTTTAACACTCAGATGTGTTTGACAAGCATTTGTCGTACTCTGGTAGGTGAGATGCTGTCTCCTGACAATCGGATAGAAAAAGAGACGCTTCTTCATATCAGGTGGCCGAGATGAAAACTCCTGATGTTCAAGTGTAAGAGGTAACACGTCGCTACACTTCGGCCCCAGACAGGTGGCCTGGAGACACTCGGGCAGGACATGTGAGACCTCGTGAGACTCAGCAATGACCAGGAAAGTAGGTTTTGCAGTTGTGAATTAGGGAAATTGAAAACGGCTCTTTGAAAACCGTGCTGATAGCATACACTGGGAAGAGGGAAGGACCGTTTGCCCCCAGGGGCAAAGGACCTACTAATCCGCTGAACCTGACTCCTTTTAGCCACGGACATGTGGCGCCATCTCGTCAAGGGAAGGTTAAGCTGCTCCTCAGTCCTTGAGTCTGCGGTGGTGACAGCTCGCATGAGGGGCAGCTTCCAAACCTGCTCAAAGCTGGGGCCTCGTATGATGTGGGGCCTCGGCAGAGTCACTGGGAATGCAGACCCTGGCCTTGGGACAGAGCGAATGGGGCGTCCCACGAGTCCCAGCCCCCGGCCTGGGGGAGCCTGTGCAGGAGCCAGTTAACCCCAGGGGCTCTTCCTGGCCTGACTCTGGGGGAGGGGGTGGAGGTCACTGTGCTGATTGGCCGGGGGTCACGGAGCTTTGTGAGGTCACTGAGCTTGCAAGCCAGGCCCACGCAGGAGTATGGAGGCGACGCTGCCAACTGCCGTTCTGGTCTTGGCAGTGTCTATGGTTGCCAAAGGTGACACATCGTGTGAGTAAGTGTCACGGGCACTTTGGGGGGGAGTGTACCTTCTGAATGGCAGGTCCCCCACAGAGTCCCTCTGTCTAGGGCTAGGAGAACGAGACCAAGCGTGGGCCTCAGCAGTCCCCAGATCCCACAGCTCTTGTCACCCACATCACCAACTCAGGCCCCTCTTGCTCCCAGAATCATGAGCCCAGAGACCCCTGGGCCCCCAGTTGTCCACAGTGTTCTCCTAGGCTGGACCCCTCAGCTCCCAGGGCTCCCGCAGCACCTCGATCTGTGCCCCTCCCAGTCCTCCAGTGATGGTTGCTGCTGCCTCCCAGACACCACGTCCTGATTTCCAGGAGCCCCTGTCCTTCCACAGACAACCAAGACATCCCAACCTATGGCTGACCCCAAAGGCCCCAGGACACCGTCTTCTCACACCTCTAGCACCTCCGTCCACCTGTACACTCTCACCCCCAAGGTTCCCCATGTGCCAGTGGCTCCCAAACTCTGTGTGGCTTCCCACCTGTGACACAGTTCCCAGAACTTGCACTTCTGGATCCCCTGCTCCTGGGGTGCCCCATGCCTGTGCGCCCCTGTCCCTGCCTGCGGCTGCTCTCATGCCTGCTACCAACCCAGCCCTGCAACCCCAAGACCCCCTTAGTCACCAAACTCTTCCCTGAGTCTCCTACCTAAGGTTGGCTCTGAAGACCCTGGACCCTCCACCCCCACCTCTAGCCTCCTACAGCCCAGGCTCTTCCCCACTTTCCCCACCCCGTGCCCTGCCTCCCCCCAGTTCTTGGTTTGAGCTGTGCCTTGGTCTCTCCCCAGTGGCCCCTGCGGGTTACGGTTCAGGCAGAACCCGGAAGGCGGCATGCGTGTCGTCGGGGGGCAGGCGGCGCAGCACGGGGCCTGGCCCTGGATGGTCAGCCTCCAGATCGTCACCCACAGCGGCCGCCGGTACCACGCCTGCGGAGGCAGCCTGCTGAACGCACACTGGGTGCTGACGGCCGCTCACTGCTTCCACGGCAAGAAGTACGTGTGGGGATGCGCGGGGGCCTGCACAGTGGCTGCTCCTGGAGGGAGCAGGGCATTCTTCGGGGACTCCAGGCAGAGTCTCCCTGGGGCTTTGGGTCAAGTGGCCACCAGCCTCCGGGGGACTGACCTTTCTGGGGGAGGGTCGCCAGCACCGGGGCTTCTGTGCAGCCGTCGGTAAATGACCGGACCTTCCTTTGTACCCGCAGTAAAATGTATGACTGGAGACTGGTGTTTGGAGCAAATGAAATTGTGTATGGGAACGACAAGCCCGTGAAGGCGCCGCTGCAGGAGAGAAATGTCGAGAAAATCATCATTCACGAAAAGTACAATGCCGCGTCAGAGGGGAACGACATTGCTCTCCTGAAGGTCACCCCTCCCGTTGTGTGCGGCCACTTCATTGGGCCGGGCTGCCTGCCCCAGTTCAAGGCGGGCCCACCCAGAAGTCCCCGGAACTGCTGGGTGACTGGCTGGGGATACATGAAAGAGAAAGGTGAGTCTGGCTGGGGCAGTGGGGGCAGCTCCCAACAGGGCCAGGCCCCTTTCTTCCTTCCCATCCTGCTGTGAGCAGGGCCATCACGGTGTCCTTCCTCAGCTGGAGAAACTGAGCGTGACAGAGGCTGAGTCCCTGCCCAAGGTCACCCGGCTGGCGGCCACTCTGGCTGCCTAGGGCATGGCTGACTGGCAGGCACAAGTAGGAGTTTGGCATTTCTTAGAGCAGGGTCAAGGCTCTGTCTGCATTTGGCACCTGGAGCCCCGCCTGCTGGATTCTGGATATTGGGACCACCCCCCGAAACCGCACTTGGAGAACAGCTCCAGAGGTGGCTTGGTGGGTGTGGGCCAGTGCCTTCCCTCTCTGGGCCTCGGCTTCCTCATTTGTAAGTGGAAGGGCCAGATCAGGTGGTCTGGAAGCCGAGCATTTCCTGACTTCTGAGGTTCCCGGGCCCAGGCCTCCTGCTTCCAGCGCTGTCTTCATCCACTGGGGCCACCCTTCCCGTCCCTGGCCAATCGCAGCACTCAAATCTGTCCCCTCCATGAGTCACTGCAAATGTTCTCTGTGGACTGGGATGGGGTCGGGCGGTGGTGTGGTTTTCTTCGGGTCATGGGCACCCCGGTATGCCAGGCTCTGTGGAGCTGTCTGGTGGTCCTGGCCATCCGAGGTGGGGGTGGCTGCCTCTCCAGACCTCTGTCCTTGACCACAGTGCTGCCTCTTTCCCGGCTCCCAGAGCCCCTCTTGCCCACCTGTCGGGCAGGAATCTCAGATCCTTCTGCCCCTTCCTGTGCAGGTCGTGAGTCAGGTAATCAAAAGAAGATACTGGCAGCTTTATGCAAGGCAGACATGCTGCATTCTTCAGGTGTGAGCTCCTGAGCTCCACAGACTTGCGCTATCCTCAGACACGAGTCAGACTCTGCTCCACTGACCCTCCAGGCTCTGCCTTCTCTGTGCTCTCCTGACCCGCAGCTCGCAGCAGTTGCCTTTCACTCTTAGTTCCCAGCCAAGCATCGCATACTTGCCACGATCGTGCCGAGTCAGTCAATGGGCGCAGTGCGTGGTTACACTGCTTCTGTAACTGCTCCTAGTGAATGTGCTGAATCTTGCCCATTTGTCACAGATGTGAGGCGGGCGAGCCTGACTGAACTTCTGCTTTCCTTCCACTGCCCAACACCCCTGAGCCCACACCAGGTGAGCAGGGAGCACGTAGTGGGAATGTCTTCCAGATCAGCCAGGCTCCCGGAGGGCCCCAGGCTGACTTCTTGGCTGTGGCTTTGATCCCCAGACGCACGCCCCGTCCCCCCCTTACAGCCTAGAGACACTGTTTTTCTCAGCAGCAGCAGGTCGCTCGTTACGTGGCAGCAACGTGTAGGATGAGACCAGGTAGGACTCGGCCTCTGCTGGTGGCCTGTGCTCTCTGCTCCCCACAAGAGGGTGCGTGGATTTTTGCCCAGTCACACTAGTGATGTGAAGACGTGGCTGAAGTTAACGTAGCTCTCAATCTCTTCTTTTCATTGATAACAGAAAATTGAGGCTTCCTAACTCAAGGCAAGTCAGTCATTTGACGTTTGAAACTCGACCTTTCTTTGGTCACAGAAAAATCAATGATTTCAGGATTCTCCCCTTAACTCTTATTCCATTTCCCTAGAGGTTGATCTAAGTTTCTACAGGTTTGTCACCTGTCCTGTCACTCAGGGATGAAAGTCTCGTCCCAATGGCCCTTGCTTTCCTTGGCCTTTGCTGACAGGCGATGTTCCTCCCTGGCCTGGGGTTCTCGCCTCCATGCCAATGCTGGTGCCACCTTGGGAGTGAGGACATGCGTTCCTTTTGTCCACCCCGTGACCATGTGCACAGCTTTTGCGGGGGGTCCTTGTGGTCCCAGGGGGGCTAATCTCAGGGTCCCTGCTGCCACCCCACCTGTGCCAACCTATTGCTAAGGAAGATTACAGGCCCCAGCTACACTCTGGGTGTCCCGCAAGCCCTTTTTGTTCTGGAGTCCCCCTAAACTTAATGTGGTAGCAGCTCTCATTCTTTTGCATACACACCCCCACCCCTCACGCAAGTCTTAAAGGCCCCCCGGGCTCCAGACCCCCACGACTCCTTCAGACCTCCCTTGTCCACTGCCCCTTTGACCTCATCTGCTCTGCAGCTGGAACAGCTGTCCCGGGCGTTGCTGCTTTCCCACTGAATTTTGAGTTCCTGCCTGCTTTTAGGCATTTGTTATTCAAAGTCAAGCTGTTGCGATTGAGAAAACCCTTTCCTGTTTCAGGACACCTGGCTCTGCACAATGAAAGCCATAGCTTATGGGCTCTACCATAGACTTATAAAGTCATCTTAGTGACTGACGAGCCAAGATTGTTGTCATTTTGCTTGTTTCTCCCCTACCCCGAGGGCAGCGCACACACAGAACTCTCACTGCTGCTTGGATGGTGAGGACAGCAGCAGCTAAAGGGCTTGAGAAGCATAATCCGAGCATCCCCAGCAGCCCAAGTGCCTAACCCTAACCCTACCGCGTCACCCTGCCTTGGCACACGAGGCTGCGCTCCTGGCCTGCCCTGTGTGCCCTGCAGTCGGCTGTGGGCGCTGCTCTGGGTGGGGGCCCTCCTGTCTCAGGAGCCCCTGGTGAGGGGGCCTGGGCCAGGGGCAGTGCTGGCTGCCAGCCCGGAGGTCTGTGGACAGGGTCTAGGGCTGCAAGGGAGCTCTGAGTCATGTCGGGTCACCTCAGCCCCCGTGCTGGCGGGGCTGCTTGCGTGCGAGGCTCGGCCACGGATCTACCTGTTCTCTAATCTCCAAGCAAATCTGAGGGACAGGGAGGGCTCGCCCTCGCCGGCCTGACTCCGGCAGGTCCCCACACGGCTGAGCAGTGCGGTCCTGTTGGGGTAAGAGGCGGGGAGGGTGACTCATGGCCAGACCCTCTCACACTCTGGTCCAGAAAGGAGCGACCCCGGGCAGGAGCCCAGCCCTGCCATGTCCCCTTGGCCACCCGGGCATGGGTGCTGCAGCCCCAGGCCCAACGTGTGCCCGAGAGGATTGTGTGACACCCAGGGAGTGCCCGCACATGCTGGCTGTCACTGCCGATTGCACACGTGACCCCTGTGGTCCATCATCCGCCCGCACACACCGCCCTCCGTCCCCCCGGCCATGCCCCTCTGCCTGCCATCATCCCCTCTGCTCCACGTCCACCGTCCACCTCTCATCCGCCCCTCAGCTGTGTTTCTTCCTCCAGGAACGTGTAATCAGAGGCCTGGGCATGAAGCAGACAGAGGATGGGGGTTTCTGGAGGGAGGAAGCAGCTTTCTCTGTGTCTTCCATGATCACTGACCACTGAGTCGCCTGTTTGTAGCCCCCAGGCCGTCACCTATTCTGCAGGAGGCGCGCGTGGAGATCCTTGACCTCTACTTGTGCAACTCGACTCGGTGGTACAACGGGCTCATTAAGTCGACCAATGTGTGCGCAGGGTATCCCGAAGGCAAGATTGACACCTGCCAGGTAACCTCCCTTCTGGGACCCTGGCCCCCAGGGGCACCTCTTTTTGGATCTCTGGGCTCCACTATTTCCCCTCCGTCCAGGGCCCTTCTCTAGCAACTCCTTCCCTGGTCCCTTCTTCCGGCATCTACAGACCCACCAGTTGCCCCTGCAGAGAACCAGCCACCACCTGGAGCCCTTTACCTCCACCCCAACACGCAGAACATGTCACCCCAGCCCTAGCCCGGGAGGCTGCTTACAGCTCTTCCCCAGAACACAAAGCCTCCCGAACCCACTTTACACATGAGCTCGCGTGCGCAGGTAAAGCCACACGCATGAACACAAGGCTTTGCTCATCTTCCCACCGCGAGGGACCCCACGGCCATCCATGCCCTTCTCCCGTCCCACCCCAAGCTTTGCCATGGCCACTTGTGTTCACGGCAGCAGGAAACCACGAGATGCAGAAGTTTTCCCCCCATGGCCCTAGGATCCCTCTGGGCAGGGACAGAGCGGCTCAGGCAGAGAGTGACCTCTGTGTCCTTCTGGACAGGGGGACAGCGGCGGGCCTCTCATGTGCAGAGAAAGCAGCGATACGCCCTATGTGGTCGTGGGGATCACGAGCTGGGGGGTAGGCTGTGCCCGTGCTAAGCGCCCCGGAATCTACACGGCCACCTGGCCCTATCTGACCTGGATTGCCTCCAAGATCGGCGCCATCGCCCTGCCCATAGTGCCACCGGCCACCGCTCCCACTCCGGCCACTCGG